AACTTCTACAAAATACATTCTTCTCAGCAGCCTATGGAACCGTCACCAAAACAGGTCATATCCTAGGGCAAAAGCAAGCCTCAGCAAATATAAAAAAACAGAAATTATAGCATGCATTCTATCTGATCACAATGCAATAAAAGTAGAACTCAACAACAAAAATAAAGACAAAAAACATGCAAACAGCTGGAAACTGAATAACTCATTGCTTAATGAACAATGGGTCATTGATGAAATAAAAGAGGAAATTAAAAAGTTCCTGGAAGTCAATGAAAATGAAAATACAACCTACTGGAATCTATGGAACACAGCAAAGGCAGTCCTGAGAGGAAAGTTTATAGCCACAAGCGCATATATTAAAAAGCTGAAAGATCTCAAATCAATGACCTAAAGATACATCTTAAACTCCCAGAAAAACAAGAACAAGCAAATCCCAAAACAAGCAGAAGGAGAGAAATAATATAAGAGCTGAAATCAATGAAATAGAAACCAAAAAAAAAAACAAAGAATTAATGAAACAAAAAGTTGGTTCTTTGAAAAAATAAATAAGATCGATAGACCCCTGGCAAACCTGACCAAAATGAGGAGAGAAAAAACCCAAATTAGTAAAATCAGGAATGCAAAAGGGGAGATAACAACAAACACCATGGAAGTCCAGGAAATCAATAGAGACTACTTAGAGAATCTATATTCCAATAAATTCGAAAATCTTAAAGAAATGGACAGATTTCTAGATACCTATGATCATCCAAAACTCAACCAAGAGGAAATTAATCACCTGAATAGATCTATAACACAAAATGAAATTGAAGCAGCATCAAGAGTCTGCCGAAAAAGAAAAGTCCAGGTCCTGGTGGATTCTCTGCTGAATTCTATCAGACCTTTAAAGAAGAACTGACACCAACCCTCCTCCATGAAATAGAAAGGGAAGGAAAACTGTCTAACACATTTTATGAAGCCAGTATTACACTTATCCCAAAACCAGGCAGAGACACCTCCAAAAAGGAGAACTATAGGCCAATCTCCTTAATGAACATTGATGCAAAAATCCTCAATAAAATAATGGCAAACCAAATTCAGCAATACATCAAAAAGATCATTCACCACGACCAAGTAGGCTTCATCCCAGGGATGCAGGGGTGGTTCAACATATGAAAATCAATAAACGTAATATACCATATTAACAGAAGCAAAGACAAAAACCACTTGATCATCTCAATAGATGCAGAAAAAGTCTTTGATAAGATCCAATGTCATTTCATGATAAAAGCTCTAAGAAAACTAGGAATAGAAGGAAAGTACCTCAACATTATAAAAGCTATATATGACAAACCTACAGCCAGCATTATACTTAACGGTGAAAAACTGAAACCATTCCCTCTAAAATCAGGAACAAGACAAGGATGCCCACTATCTCCACTCCTATTCAACATAGTACTGGAATTCCTAGCCAGAGCAATTAGGCAAGAAGAAGGAATAAAAGGAATACAAATAGGTAAAGAAACTGTCAAAATATCCCTATTTGCAGACGATATGATCCTATACCTTAAAGACCCAAAAAACTCTACTCAAAAGCTTCCTAGACACCATCAATAGCTATAGCAAGGTAGCAGGATATAAAATCAACATAGAAAAATCATTAGCATTTCTATACACTAATAATGAACAAACTGAGAAAGAATATATGAAAACAATTCCATTTACAATAGCCTCAAAAAAAATCAAATACCTAGGTGTAAACTTAACAAAGGATGTGAATGACCTCTACAAGGAAAACTATACACTTCTGAAGAAAGAGATTGAGGAAGACTATAGAAAGTGGAGAGATCTCCCATGCTCATGGATTGGTAGAATCAACATAGTAAAAATGGCTATACTCCCTAAAGTAATCTACATGTTTAATGCAATTCCCATTAAAATCCCAATGACATTCATCAAAGAAATTGAAAAATCTACCATTAAATTTATATGGAAGCACAAAAGGTCACGAATAACCAAGGCAAACTCAGTCAAAAGAACAATGCTGGAGGTATCACAATACCTGACTTCAAACTATATTACAAAGCAATAGCAATAAAAACAGCATGGTACTGGCACAAAAACAGACATGAAGACCAGTGGAACAGAATAGAGGACCCAGATATGAAGCCACACAACTATAACCAACTTATCTTTGACAAAGGCTAAAAATATACGATGGAGAAAAGCAGCCTCTTCAACAAAAACTGCTGGGAAAACTGGTTAGCAGTCTGCAAAAAACTGAAACTAGATCCATGTTTATCACCCTATACCAATATTAACTCAAAATGGATCAAGGATCTTAATATCAGACCCCAAACTCTAAAGTTGATACAGGAAAGAGTAGGAAATACTTTGGAACTAATAGGTATAGGCAAGAACTTTCTCAATGGAACCCAGCAGCACAGCAACTAAGAGATAGCATAGATAAATGGGACTTCATAAAACTAAAAAGCTTCTGCTCAACAAAAGAAATGGTCTCTAAACTGAAGAGAACACCCACAGAGTGGGAGAAAATATTTGCCAGCTACACATCAGACAAAGGACTGATAACCAGAATATATAGGGAACTCAAAAAACTAAATTCTCCCAAAATTAATGAACCAATAAAGAAATGGGCAAGTGAACTAAACAGAACTTTCTCAAAAGAAGAAATTCAAATGGCCAAAAAACACATGAAAAAATGCTCACCATCTCTAGCAATAAAGGAAATGCAAATTAAAACCACACTAAGATTCCACCTCACCCCTGTTAGAATAGCCATCATTAGCAACACCACTAACAACAGGTGTTGGCAAGGATGTGGGGAAAAAGGAACCCTCTTACACTGCTGGTGGGAATGTAAACTAGTACAACCACTCTGGAAAAAATTTGGAGGCTCCTTAAAAATCTAAACATAGATCTACCATATGATCCAGCAATACCACTCTTGGGGATATACCCAAAAGAATGCTGAATTACTCTGGAGTAACTCAGGTTACTCCAGAGGCACCTGCACACCCATGTTTATTGCGGCACTATTCACAATAGCCAAGTTATGGAAACAGCCAAGATGCCCCATTACAGAAGAATGGATTAAGAAAATGTGGTATTTATACACAATGGAATTTTATGCAGCCATGAAGAAGAATGAAATGTTATCATTCGCAGGTAAATGGATGGAACTAGAGAACATTATTCTGAGTGAGGTTAGCCTGGCCCAAAAGACCAAAAATTGTATGTTCTCCCTCATAGGTGGACATTAGATCAAGGGCAAACACAACAAAGGGATTGGACTTTGATCACATGATAATGCGAGAGCACACAAGGGAGGGGTGAGGATAGGTAAGACACTCAAAAACCTAGATAGCCATTTGTTGCCCTCAACACAGAGAAACTAATGCAGATACTTTAAAGCGACAGAGGCCAATAGGAGAAGGGGACCAGGAACTAGAGAAAAGGTTAGTTTGAGAAGAATTAATTTAGAAGGTAACATGCATGTACAGGAAAGCAATGCAAGTCAACTCCCTGTATAGCTATCTTTATCTGAACTAGCAAAAACCCTTGGTTCTTCCCATTATTGCTATACTCTCTCTTCAACAAAATTAGACATAAGGGCAAAATAGTTTCTGCCTGGAAGCAAGGGGGTGGGGGGGAGAGGGAGGGGATGGGGTGGTTAAGGGAGAGGGTGGGGGGAAGGGGGGAGAAATGACCCAAACATTGTATGTACATATGAATAAAATTAAAAAACATAAATAAAAAAAGAAGGTAAAGGTTAAGTGTCTCCAACTCGGTTTGTTTTGCTGAACTAACTGGAATGTAAAATTTTATTTTGGATAGGACTGGGATTTGAACTCAGGGCTTGTGCTTATTAACAAAGCAGGCACTCTACCACTTGAGCCACACTGCCAGTCCATTTTGTTCTGTTTATTTTGGAGATGAAGGTCTCAAGAAGTATATGCCCAGGTTGGTCAAAAATCACAATCTCAGCCTACCAAGTAATTAGGATTACAGGTGTGAGCCACCAGTGCCAGCTTGGACTATAAGTCTTGAGATGGATAAGGAGATTAATTTTTTGAATGAATTAAATCAAAGTGAAAACAATGTATTTCATATGTAACAATGAGGCTAAGAAAATCTTCCACTTCAAAAGGCAAGTTCTCCTGGTAACTTAACAGTACATATCCTCCATCCTCTAAAAAAACAAAGAACTTCTATTTCATAGCAGTGTGGCTTTGGAGCACCAGAATCTGGTGATTCTGATTTTAGCTGAGCATTTAGGAGTTACTTAACCTTCCTCATTTTTACCAGTTTCCTCATCTGTAAGATACTGGAAATGATAGCAACTTCATGGAATTGCATAGCACTGGGAACTCAGGTGGGGGTTCCAAAACTGGAAGCTATTTATGACCACCACTCACAGGGAAGGTAAACTCAGAGAAGCTTATAAACAAAGTACTGAGCTTAACACACACATAAACTGAGGGACAGTCATTAACTGAGTCCAGGCCTCAATGAATAAGGAACAAAAATAAGATAATAGAGCCCAAGAGTCCCAACTCTGGATTCCTCTAGTCTACCATCTTCTGAACACTTCCTGACATTAATAGATGACTCACTATCAGGTTTTGCTACAATCACAATTAAAATGAAAATAATACCTAAACCGTGCATCATGCTACCTTTCCCTTAGAAGGTAATTTTACTTGACAAATACTAGCTGACTTAGCCTTAGACTTTCTTTATTTAACACTTTTGTCCTCAAAAATCAGCAACTATAGCATGTCTCCTAGAAAGATCACTGATGGATTCTACTACCATATTTTCAGACAGATGGTCACAGAAAATCAGTAACAAAATCTGAACTAAACTAAATACTATTCTTTCTATAAGGCCACAATATTTCTCTTTAAGTATTCACTTGACTCATAATTGACATTTACTAGTCATTACTTAATTCCACACATCACGTCACACGTAGAGTAACAACATCTGTAACACACCTTTCAATTTTCCATCAAAGTCAGGGCTTGTGGCCACCTGGAGTCCTGGATGTGGTAAGAGAAAACAGGTGACATCGGAGAAACACGAGTGAATATGATTTCGAACATTCTGAATCTCTTCGTGTTGCTGTTCCTTCACCTGCCAATGAAGACCAACATCTTACCAACCAAAGACTGCTTGGTTTTCTTCACTAGAAACCACTAGTATGAGGGCAAAGGAAAGAAGACTTCCCAACTCTGACAGTGGCCAATGAGAAAACTCAGAACCCCAAGAAGCAATAAATGCATGAATGTGATTAACCATATTTGGCTCCTATAGCCAACAAAGAACAGGTGCTACAGAGTTTGCTTCACATGAATATTGCACAATGTTTAAGAAAAAAAGAAGGTTTGTGAGTGGGAAGGAGGATCTAACCAGTTAGTAGTGACTGACAAAGGACTCCTGTGCTAGGATACATAAACAGGCTTAGCCTGTTTATATTCACGCCAAAGAAAGCAAGTAAGAATACTGAGTAAGAGCAGAACGAGAATGTGACATTCTAAAAGCACATATAGAATCTGGTTTAAAATATAAAATGGAAATTATATCACACTTGGGCTTTTGGCCAGAGTTCTTCTTTATAATTCCTGTGTATTATATACCCAGGTTAATTTCACCATGAAAAAATGGTATTGGTTTATGCTAAGATTCATACATATTTAGCATATTTAGTAATATTTTCAATAAGCTGCTTTAAATACAATAGCCAAAGAAAAATGAAAAAGTTGTCACTCCTTTTAGCTAATTCCTCAAGAGATTATATACACTTACCTGTAAACGCTTATCTAAAAACGCCATTCCTCCTTGCAGTCCATAGTTGTATTCATAAGGGAAACTCCAGTCTCGAACCAAAAACATCAGTGTCTATTTCAGCAAAGAGTAAAACATATTATAACACTGCATAAATGCATTTTTAAGATAATCATTGTAACACTTCTTTGCATGATCCCCATTTCTTCAAAGGAGGCAAGGAAATGTGCTGATAGATTTATCTATTCCATAGTGTCCTGAAACTTTATAAGCACTACAAGGACATGTTTAAGTCAAATGTGAGGTTAATACATCCCATCTGCTATTTTCATTCTCACAAGTTAACAGGAATAGAAGAAATTGTTGAGAAATCATTAAATTCAGGATTCTGCCCTAAAGGCAAATAAGAGGAATGTAGGAAAGGATAAAAGAGAAAATAAAATGGATACTAACTAATCATAAGATCAGATCTGCTATTTACATTAAAAGAGAAAAGAACTAGCAGGGCTTGGCCCATACCAGTTCCAACAAAAAGAAAAAGCGGGAGGGTGAATAATGCTCAAATGGAAAGCACTCTAGTCTTACTTGACTTTTCTGTGCTTTTCATCTTTAAAAACGTAATTAGCTAAAGTAGGGGTCAGGAAATATTTTCTGTAAAGGACCAAAAGTAAAAATTTTAAGCAGCTCCTCAACTCTGTTACTATAGTAGGAAAGCAGCCACAATAACACACACATCAGAGTGGCTGTGTTCCACTAACACTTTAGCTATGAACACCAATGTGGAAGTTTCAGGTCATTTACACATCCTGAAACATTACTGCTCTTTTCTTTTTTTTCCCACCCACTGAAAAGTATAAGGGTTTTGCCTAGCAGGTTCAAGGCCCTGAGTTCAACCATATATCAACACGGGCACTCATACTCTCTGAAGGTGTAGCTCAGCAGTACAGTACTTGCTTAGTGTGCGTTAAGACCCTGGGTTTGATTCCCAGTTCTGCAAAAAGAAAGGACAAAAAAGAGCTGGACATGGTGAAGCACACATGTAATTCCAGCACTGGGGAGGCTGAAGCAGGAGGATACTTGAGTTCAAAGCCAACCTGGACTATATACATAGCAAGTTCCCGGCCAGCTTGCGATTCATAGTGAGACCCTATCTCAAAAAACAAATACAGTGCCAGTGGCTCACACCTGTAATCTTAGCTACTCAGGAGGCAGAAATCAGGAGGACCTCAAAGCCAGCCTTGGGCAAATAGTTCGTTGAGACCCTATCTGGAAAAAAAAAAAAGTTTACAAGAAAGGGCTGGCAGAGTGGCTGAAGCTGTAACAGTGCCTGCCTAGCAAGCATGAGGGCCTGAGTTCAAACCCCAGTGCTACCAAAAAGAAAAAAAAAAAAAAACAGGCTGAGGGCATGGCTCAAGTGGTAGAGCATCTGACTAGCAAGTTCGAAACCCTGAGTTCAAACCCAGTACCACGGAAAATAAAAACAAAACAAAAACAAACAAACAAAAATTCCTTAGCTTATAAGTCATGTAAAATCAGGCAGCAGGTCAGATTTGGCCTGTGAACCGTGGTTTGCTGATCTGTGAACTAATACAAAAATATGAATCATATTCAGTTATTATTTTACCTGGAAGGGTTTTTGGAAAATTTCATCCATTGCCAGACGACCATATTCTGTGAACAACTGTAAGAAAGAAGAGTTAAGAGTTTATAAGGCAAATTTATTTAATACTTCTGGTACTCTTTAGCAAAGTATTCATTTAACATACTGGATGCTATTCAAATTGAAACCAAAGTTCTATAGTTTAGAAATCCCACAGGAGCCATGAAGCCTAAAATAACCTGGAATACATTGCCTTTCTACAGACCATTCTCAGACAGCAGCCCCCGAGGGCTCTGCTACAGATGAGATTAGTAAGATCACAGCACACCTCTGCTCACAACCCTATACCCTCACTCAGTATTAAAGCTAGTTCTTACATTTTAATCCAGCTACAGTGGAATCCCCCTTGCTGAGCCTCAAACACTCTGGAAACGCAACTGTCTCAGGGCCTTTGTTCTGTAACATTCTTCTCCCAAATATCCCCAGGATCAGCTCCTTAGTTTCTTCAGGTCTGTACTCAAATGGGTCCTTCTCAATGAAGCCTTCCTTGGCCATTTACCTAAAAGGATTACCACTTTCCACACAGTATTTCTTGCCACTTTTTTTAAATTTTCTCCCTAACATCACTATCTAATATGCTATACCTTTACTTAACTTGACTAGTGTCTGTCTTTACTACAAATATTTTTTGGGGGGTGGGACTCAGGTTTGAAACCAGAGCTTTGCACTTACAAAGTAGCACTCTACCACTTGAGCCAAACCTCCAATCCATTTTGGTCTGGTTATTTTGGAGATGGGGTCTCATAAGCTACTTGTCTGGGATGGCCTCAAATCGTAATCCTCCCAATCTCAGCCTCCCAAGTAGTTAGTATTACAGGCATGAGCCACTGGTGTCCAGCACACTATTAATATTTAAACTCCACGGGGCAAGAACATTTGCTTGTTCTGTGCACTCTGCATCTCCAGCAGCAAGAAAAATACTGAGCCCATAGTATTCGTTAAGATTAAGGTTTATATGTAATTTACCTGTTTCTTCACGAAGTCTCACTAAAAGTATAACAAAGCTTAAGTGCTACAAACTTGGGGCTGGAGATGTGGCTCAAGTGGATGAGCACCTGCCTTGCAAAGCATGAAGTCCTGAGTTCAAACCCCAGTGCGATCCAAAAAAAAAAACCACAAACTCACAGGACAAAGAGAATAGGAAATATGATAGCAGCAAGAAGCCACAAACACTATGGAAAGGAAACAGATTAGAATTGCTGAGGGTTGACTTTCTCTGTCCTGCTAAGAAATAAGCAGATTCTCAGCCAGGTGTTGTGGTGCACACCTGTGATTCCAGCACTTAGGAGATTGAGTTTGAGGCCATCATGGGCTACACAGTGAGACCCTGCCTCAAAGCAACAACAAAAAGAAAGGAATAATAAGCAGATTCTCTCAGTAGAATCACTGAAAGGCTGAAAAATGACAAACACAGTTACCCTGCAAGAGGGGTATGAGAGTAAGGTGAACAACTAAAGGAATGTTTGCAAGTCTCTGGAGAGAGCACCTACACCCCCAGGTTCCCACCTTCTAAGTACCATGCACTTCCTACCCCACAAAAATGGCAAGTGTATTATCTAGAGAAGTTAAACAAAAAAAAGTCCAGGCTAGGCATGGCAGTGGAGACAGAAGGACTGAGACTCAAGGCCAGCCCAGGCAAAAAGCTATCAATACCCTATCTCAAAAACAAGTCAGATGTAGTTGTATACGCCTGTAATCCCAGATACTGGAGAGGCAGAGATAAGAAGATCCAAAAGACCCTATCTGGGGGGGAAAAAAAAAGTCTGGACTTGGTATCAAACTCCATTAAGGTTAAGAGTAAATCTCCTACATTACTAGAAACAGATACTTAAGTCAAAGTGTACAAGGTGGGATCCTTAACCTGCTCTGATTCTGCTGAGTTTAAAGAAATCTCTGGGGAAACTGAGCCCAAGAATAAAACTGAAAAAACTGACATTTAAGAGCCAGTAACAAAATAGCTAGCTAGGCAATCACAACTCATCGCCCCACTGGATCCAAACCTACAAGACCCACCTTCGTTCAGATTTCTTTTCCTTTTTATTTTTTTAGTACTGGGGATTGAACCACAGTGCACATGCTAGGCAAGCACTCTGCCACTGAGCTATATCCCCAGCCCTTTTTATTTTTATTTTGAGACAAGAGCTCACTATCTTGTACTGGATGGCCTCAAACTTGGATCCTCCTGACTCAGTCTCCAGAGGAGCTGAATCACAGGCATGCCTGGCTCTAACTCAGATTTTTAGTGGCTTACTCCTAAAGACAGGTGGTCAAAGACCACCAAAAATTTGAGTAAAGCCTCTAGGAGGAAGACAAAAACCCATGTCCTTCAATTACAGAGTATCATCTTATATTATTCCTTTTAATAATTTCTTTCCCTTCATTTCTCTTTTTACTAAAATTCCTAAATAAATACCTAAATAGCTATTAACACCTAAATCTCTCTTAAACTGATCTTCTACTTTATTTTTGGCAGTACCGGGGAGTTTGAACTCAGGGCCTCACATTTGCTAGGCAGGCACTGCACAACATGAGCCACACCCCAGCCCTTCTAAATTGATGCTTTTTCCTTTTGTGTATGCCCGGCCTATCTTCCTCTATGCCACACCTTTTTTTTTTTTTTAATTTTTATTGTTTTATTATTCATATGTGCATACAATGCTTGGGTCATTTCTCTCTATGTCACCCCTTTATTCTTCCCTTTCTCATACTCCCTCTCTTCCATTCTCTCTCCTCTCCTTTTGCTCTCTTCCCCTCCTTCCTGATTCCTTTTCTTTATATCTTTATTCAACCTATTGGGGAAATGTTTTCTAATTTAATTTTAAGTCATATTTACTGAATGTTCCCTTTTTCTAACTTGAGGATCTTTTTTGTTGTTGTTTCCTAAATGTTGCTTTTTAACAGCATCCTGTTGTTATTTCTTAACTGCAACATCTTATCTCACTGAGATGAGTTTACAAAGAATAAACAAAAAGCCTTCACTAAGGCATCATGAAAATACATGCCTAGAAAAGATTTTATAAGCTTCAGAAACAAAAATGTCACATACAAAACATCAGGAATCACACAGTGAGGACTTCATCAACAATACTGGAAGCCAGACAGCAATTAAGTAATGACTTCAGAATTCTAAAAGAATATTAGTTCCATTCTATAATTAATATGCAAATGCTCAAGTCCCTTAGATTACATGGCAAAGTATTTAGATCATTTCTAGATTACTTACACTACCTAATAAAATGCAAGTGGCATGTAAACAAGTATCATACTGTATTAGGGAATGATGACAAGAAAAAATGGCCAACACATGTTCAATACAGCTGCAATTTTTTAAAAAATATTTCCAGTCCAGGATTGGTTGAATGCATGGACGCAGAACCTTCAGATACAAAAGACCACAACTGTATATATACAGATATAATGAGAAAAATGTGGGCATATTTTAACCAAAAATTATGATATAACTATTGGAAGACTGAAAGGGAAGAAAACTGGGTGAAGCTAGGAGCTGGTGGCTCATGCCTGTGATCCTAGTTATTCAGGAGGCAGAGATCACAAGGACTGTGGTTTGAAGCCAGCCCAGGAAAATAGTTCTCAAGATCTTATCTCGAAAAAACCCATCACAAAAATAGGGCTGGTAGAGTGGCTCAAGGTGTAGGCCTTGAGTTCAAACCTCAATACCGCAAAAAGAAAAGGGGTAAAAGGTAGTAGAAATCTTAATTAAGGTAGAACTAAATCTTAATTTCATGTACGTTATTAATATTTAAGCTTTAAAAATCAAAAAGCAGTATAAGCATGTTAAAAGTTTAGAAGCACAGCACAGAAAAAAAAAGCATTCCAAGCTGTTGCCTCTACAGAAAAGTACTAGCTAATACAACCATTATGGAAAACAGTATAGCGGTTCCTCAAAAAATTAAAATTAGTGGTGTGCTAAACAAACCTTTGGAGGTATATTAGCAGCATAACTAATTTAGCCATTGCTGTCAGTCACCTTCAGACAAGTTTCAATAACTTCATGAGAAATTTTGTACTTTTTATATTGTATGATTTTGTATTGAGAGAATTTCAGAAGAAGTTTAATACTTTTATAATTTAATGCATTTTCTAGAAAAAAATTAAAAACAAAACTCCCAAATGATTCAGAAATCCCATTACTTGGAACATAATCCAAAGGAAATGAAATCAGCATGTTTAAAGTGTACTTCTGCATGTGTGGTTAAATCTTTTATGCGACTCACCATTTTGAAGTGTTTCATATAGGTCTCATTAAGTTTATTCTACATTTTTAATATTTTGTGGCTACAGTGAGTACTTTCTATTACATTTTAAAACTTTTACTGTTTGTAGATAGGAATGCCTCCTGATTTTTTGTATTTGTAGCTTGTGATGGTGCAAGTTATTTTTCTGAGTTCAACATAAGTTACCAGTTGATTCTTGTGTATTTCCAGGCATAATATCCTTGTAACATTTATATTTATATAGTTGCTGGATCTACAACCAGCCTTGTCAAGTGAGACAAGTCCTCCAAACATTAAGTCCAGCTTAATGTGAAATGCTATGGTTAAGAAGTGGTTTCTCCTCCAAGGGTTCATGTGTTGGAGGCTTAGCCTTCAATGCATCTGTGCTGAGATGGTGGTACTTTTTTTGTGGTACTGGATTTGAATCCAGGCTTCACACTTGCTAGGCAGGCGCTCTATCAGAGGTGGTGGTAGTTTGAGAAGGATTGTGGGAGGTCTTTATAGTCATTGGGGGTATACTCTTGAAAAGGATTAATGTAGTTCTCGTGGGACCCTAGTTGGTCCCCAGTCTCTTCTTTGGCTTCCTTCCCTACAATGTGATCACTCACTCTCATACATGCTCCTGCCACTGTGATGTCACCCACCACAAGGACTTCAGCAAAGCTAAGCTGATGCTGACACAATGCCCCTGAACCTCCAGAATCATGAGCTAATAAATAAACCTCTTCTTTATAGTTACCTAGTTTCAGGTATTTTGTTATAGAAACAGAAAATGGACTACACCGTGAGTAAATGTATGAGCAAACCAACTAATCCACTGATTTAATGCCTTAAAAGTAGCCATATCCCCTTAATGCGAAAAAAGCTTCTCACTTCATAGTCTAACACTGGAATCACCGTGCACATAATGCTCCAGATCTTCTCCTTCCACCACTCAGACACTTTCACTGCACTATCTGCCAACTTCTATATTCATCTCCACAATGAAGAAATCCCCCCTAAATTTCCAGGTGCTTCTCTGAGTATTTCTTATACCTTCTTACTTTAACTAAAACCTTAGGGTCCAAAAATTTTCCCTGCAGTCAAATCAAGTACTGACAATTATTCTCTCACACCCCAGATATCTCAGGATCAAAAGGTGGTGTCATTGACTTCTTTGCTTCCTTTTGTCACTTCTCAACCATCATTCTTCACTGCCTTGCAAAAAGCCCTACTTCTTCAGGATCTGTGCCATTTGTACACATACTCTTTCCCTCATTCCTTACTGTGGTCCATCTACAAACCATCTAGTCTCTCTCTCTCTCACTAAGGACTTTGACACTTGATTCAGTGTTTTCCTCCATCAATGTAAGCACTTCCATTCAATCCCTGCCTTACAAGTCCTTGCCATATGACCTCCAGTGATTTCTTCCACTCCAACATATCCACATCTTAGACTGTCACCCATAACATTTCTACCGCCAAATTCACAATTCAAGTATTCTACTCTTCCTACAACTTCCCAAACCTTTTTTAACTATTCCTAGTATTATTCTTCTTTGCCCTCCCAAGACTTCCATTCCAAAGAGTCTTCTATGTTCCCTTGCAAACATAGATCTTCCAGAATTCCCTCTCCTGATCCAGAGACTTACAAGTTATCCACAACATCTGCTTCTACCTCAACCCCCAAATCTTTCCATCACCCAGTCTACAACTGTTGCACAAACCACAAAAGGTATTTTCACTAGACTATTTACTTATAAAGAAGAATTTTAAAAATACATTTTTACTGGGAAAATCTCCAAACTTTAATGTGTTCCCAAACACTTAGTTACATCCAGCCAAGGACCAGAGTTGTGGCTCAGGCAGTAGAGTGCCTGCTTTGCAAGCATGAAGCCTTAAGTACAAACTCTCATCCAACCAAAAAAAAAAAAATCTAGCCATGCACACACCTGCAATCCCAGCCCTCCGAAGGCTGAGGCAGGAAAATAAAAAATTCAAGGCAGGCCTAGGCTACCTAGCAAGTTTGAGTCCAGCCTAGGCTACAGAGTAAGACTGCCTCAAAAAAAAAAAGATGAAAAAAATAATATTTATACCCAGTGAGTTAATGGAACTCAAGAATGTAAAGTAGTAGTGCTCTAAGCACTTGTTTCTTGAAGCCATAAAGAAAACATGATATGTGAACTGAGTTCAAAGACAGGAAATTAAGTGCCCTACATGGTAGTAGAAGAGATACTAAGAAAAAAGAAAGAAAAAAAGCAACTTTGGCCAGGCATGGGTGGCTCATGCCTGTAATCCTAGCTACTCTGCCTAGGAGGCAGAGTTCAGTAGGATTGCAGTTTGAAGGCAGCCTGGGAATAATTCAGGAGACTGTATCTCAAAAAAACCCTTCATGAAAAAGGGCTGGTAGAGTGGCTCAAGGTGTAGCCCTGAGCTCAAATCCCAGTACCACAAAAGAAACAAGCAACTCTGTTACAAGATTAAGCAAGTTAAATTCTGTAGGAAAAGAGTGAATGAGCCTGGCACTGGTAGCTCACGCCTGTAATCCAAGCTACGCAGGAGGCAGAGATCAGGAGGATCGCAGTTAGAAGCCAGGCCATGCAAATACTTTGCAAGACCCTATTTTGAAAAAAAAACCCATCACGAAAATAGGGCTGGTGGAACAGCTCAAGGTGAAGGACCTAAGTTCAAACCCCAGTACCACAAAAAAAAAAAAAGAGTAAATGAAAGGCCATAATTGGTAATGGAAAGGAAAAAAGAGCCATGTTAAATAGACTGTACTGAAGAACTAACCAAGGCTTAAATATAATGCGATAATCTGGAAAACAATACAGATGCCTGAGAAACCCAGTAACAGTTAAAAAAATGATTGAAGAGTGTGTAACATAGTTCTCAGGAGAAACTGGAAACAGGAAAATCAGCTGCAGAGCTGCTGTAAGTCCATACACAGATAACAAGATCAGTGCAGGAGATAAAGGGCTATGTAGGACAAAAGAATCAGAAAGGCTGTTATTGAAATAATAAGGGAAAACATTCAATGCTTAAACATATCTTAGGTGTGAGGAACCAGAAGATGCTGGAACTCTTTGGAATGATATTAAAGGAATTATGTAAAAACATCATAATTTCCTTATCACCTTCATAATGTGAACTGTGTTTTACAAAAAATATATATATGTATATATATATGTGTGTATATATAATATATATATATATTGAATTCCTAACACCTAGTACCTGTGAATGTGATCTTATTTAGAAATAGGGTCTTCACAGATGTAACCAAGTTAAAACAAGGTCATTAGGGTGAACCTAATAGAATGTAACTAGCATCCTTACAAGAAAAAATAGAACAGAACAAGTACAACACCACATAAAGACACAGAGATGCACAGACAGAGAGAGAGGACGGCCATGTGAGGACAGAAGCACAGACTGAAGTGTGCAATTGCAAGCCAAAAGATGCCAAGGACTGCCAGCAACCACTGGAAGCTAGAAGAAGCAAGAAAAGATTCTCCCCTCCATGCTCAAAGACAGCTCAGCCTGCCGATACCCTGATTTCTAACTTCTGGCCTCCAACATTTTATTATTTTAAGCCACCCACTTTGTGGTACTTTGTTATAGCCATCCTAGAAATCTAATACATCACCCAAGCCTGTTGATATTTGTCTCTCTCTCACTGCCTATACTATAAAATCTGTAACAGTAAGAACCATGTCTACCTCACTGTTAAATCTATAACACATAACCCTTAGTCTCACACAAGGTAAGCATTTGAAAGCTATGTGAAAGGAAGGAGTCAGAAAGAAATGTTTCAGATAAAAAATGGTGACAGAACACAAGCCACAGAGATTTAACATTTCCTCTGCTGGGTTTTGGTCTTGCTTTGGTTCCACCCCTCCTTTCTCTACCCCATTCCTCCACTTTGGAGTGGGAATGTTCATTCTGTGCAAGTATAACTTGCTTTCTGAATTTTACATGGGCTCACAGCTATGAGTTTGTTGAGTCTCAGAGGAGACTTTGGACATGTACTTTTGAACAATGTTGGAACTATTAAAGACTCTGGAGATTATTGGAGAGGACTCATTTTGCATTATGGCCATGAGACTTTGGCAGCCAGGGGAAGAATGTTATGGTTTAGATATGAAGTATTCCCCAAAGGCCTACGTGTTGAAGGCTTGGTCCCCAGTTAGGAGCTGCAATCATTGTAAGGTGACTGGATCATGAGGGCTCAAATTTCACTAATGGATTAACCATAATTTGATAGCATTATTGGGAGGTGGAGGGAAGTAGGGCCCAGTAAGAGAAAGTAGGTCACTGGGAGCACGTCTTTGAAAAGGGTCTTGTCCCTAGTCCCTTGCTCTCTGCTTCCTGGCCACCATGAGGTGAGCAATTTTGCTGCTCCCCACCTTTCCACATGCTGTTTTGCCTCATCAAATCACAGAAAAAAATGGAGCCAGCTGACCATGGGCTGAAACTTCTAAAACTGTGAGCCAAAATAACTCTTTCCTATTCAAGTTGCTTTTCTCAAAAAAAAATCTTTCCTATTAAAAAAAATAATGGAGGGCTGCAAAGTGGCTCAAGTGGTAGAGCACCTGCTTAAGGTGTAAGGCCCTGAGTTCAAACTCCAGTACCACTACCAAAAAAAAAAAAAATCCTTGCTCCCCTAAAAATCTATTCTAAACACAGCAGCCAGTGATCCTTTTGCAACATGTCCAATAACATCATTCCTCTGCTTGACCCTTCCATGACTCCCATCTCCTTCAAAGGAAAAGCCAAGAGCTAGAATGACTGGAACCTCATTGCCTTTCTGACTTCATCACTTAGCCCCTTCCCATCACACCCACTAACCCTACCTGCTGACCACCTTGCTGTTCCTTGATCAAGCCAAGCACAATCCACCACAGGGTCCTTCTTCTTGCCTTCCCTCTCCTGTTATCACTTCTCCTTCAGACATGCCCAAAAGACTTGCTCTCTTTCTTCAACTTTCTGATCAAATCACTGAGGCCTTCCCTAGCCACCCTGCTCCTTCTCCACTGAATAGATACGGACAGTATAGAATTACTAGGAACCAAAAATCTCCCTCCATATTTCAATCATTTGCTAAAATCTACTTAATCCTAAAATTTTTCTCTACCTTAAAATCTTTTTTTCCAGTGCTGGGGACCTTGTACATACTAGGTAAACACTCTACCACTGAACTACATCATCCCAGCCCCTTCATCTTAAAACTTTAAAATGATGCATTATAATGTTAAAATGTTTAGGAAGAATATGTACCTGCAGCTGTTGAAGATCATCTTCCTGAATGTTCTGAGACAAATTGTAAATCTAGAAAACAAAAGTCCAGATTAATACTACTCTGGCTTACTTCTAACAAATCCCAAGTAAGCCTCAATCACTGAAGAGAACCTCTCTGCAACTAAATGTCTACCTATGAGACATGAAAGTTGTTTGAAGAGTAATATTATCTTGTCTTTGGAAAGCTATGAATATGAGGCTGAAATCACAAAATCTTTACAGTTTAAAATGGTTTGAGTTTTTTTAATAATACTTATTCACATATAGTAACCTAAGTGGAAAAATACTTTAGCTGTTTCTTGATCTTCCAAGAGTTTACCTTACATCTATAGTCTAAAAAGAACGACTACGTACCATCACAAGAATTCTGTTACAGAACAGTAACTGAAATAAGATGTCCTCCCTTTATCGTATTTCCTCTCTTATTTCCAAGTCAAGTATTTTTACCTGAACAGAACTCGTCATGGTGCTGAGAGCAAAGATGGTAGCACAGTCTTTCACAGTTGACTGGCTGTCAAATGCCCCCTGGGTATCCATCAGAACAACTGCAACCTAAAATGAAAGAAAAAACAAACAAAACAGGTTAAGGTGAGGAAGGGAGAAAATGTAAAGGAGAAATCAAAAGCACAGGTAACATTTACATGAGCCATAAGCACATGTTTGTAGTTTCTATCAGAAAAATACAATTATTTAGGTGCCTTGCTTTGACCACAGCACTTTGCTGGAAAAGGTATCTGCTATGACCTGGAGTAATACACAAAACAGGCATCCACAGAAACATGGAGGAGGGAAAGTGCCCCACTTAGCTCACTACCCAGCCAGACATTCAATGTTTTCAAAATGAAAAAATTCAAAAATTTTTTTAAAAGTTTAAAAAAAACAGATAAAATTAAAAATAGTTTATTGACTTACTTATAATCTTACAGGCAGGGTTATTTTGACATCTATCTGCAAGGCTGAATTCATCTCTCAACTTTCTAAGTTTTCTGGTTGTATGACACAAGAAAATTAACATTTATTTCAACCTTTACAAAAGGCAGAACACAATAAAGATTCCATAAAGAGAATCTATGCTATAAAATATAACCAGGCTTCATGAAACCACAGGCTTTCTAAAATGTCTAATGACTTTATCCAGTCCCACCCTAAAAATTAGATTTACACCAAATGTTATTACTCTTATTATCCTTATGCAACTTGCTATGGCTTGAAGTAGTATAATTTTAAAATATGTCTTTTCAAATTTATGCATATCAAAACCAGTTCCAAAAGAAGACAGGGTTTAATTACTGCAAAAGTCAGCAGACAAGCTTCCCATGAAAGTTTAGTGAGTCCAAGAAAAGAACCACCATAGCCAAAACGTTTTTAAAGCTGAGTGCTGCCAGTGGCTCACACATGTAATCCTAACTACTTGGAAGGATCAAGGTTCAAGGCCAGGCAAATAGTATGCAAGCCCCCATCTCCAAAATAACCAGGTACCAGTGGCTCACATGTATAATCCTAGCTACCCAGGAGGCAGAGATCAGGAGGATCACAGTTTGAAGCCAGCCTGGGCAAAAAGTTTTTGAAACCCTATCTCAAAAACACCCAACATGAAACAGGGCTGGTGGAGTGGCTCAAGTGATACAGCACCTGCCTAGCAAGCATGAGGTTCTGAGTTCAAGTCCCAGTACCACCAAAATAAGATTTATAGTAATAAATACAAATGAAAATATTATAACGTTATCTTTATTCTTAGAAATGATACTATAATTTTCAGTAGTTTATATTCAGGGCCAATTAAACATATTACTTATCTCTGAGTTTATTTTGATATCCTAACACACATTGTGGTAGAATAGACATAAATTCAAGCAAAAGAGATTCCTATGCAAAAAAATATTAAAAGTAAATAAGGTTTCTAGGCTAAATACACTAAAATCTAATGACATTGAAAGTTTTATCTTGTCTCTTTATTCATTGTGATGAGGATACTTTTCAATTAAATGAGCAATCACAACTAATCCTGGCTGGGACAAGTGGATATCCACATGTAAAAGAATGATGTTGGGAACTGGGTGTAGTGGTGCACACCTGCAATCCCAGCACTCAGGAGGCAAAGGCAGAGAATCATGAGTTTGAGGCCAGCCTAGGTTATACAATAAGACATTGCCTCAAAAAAAAAAATAAAATAAAGGGAACTCAAAAAAAATGTGAAGGCTTCTTAAAAATCTAAACATAGATCTACCATATGATCCAGCAATACCACTCTTGGGGATATACCCAAAAGACTGTGACACAGGTTACTCCAGAGGCACCTGCACACCCATGTTTATTGCGGTACTATTCACAATAGCCAAGTTATGGAAACAGCCAAGATGCCCCACCACTGACGAATGGATTAAGAAAATGTGATATTTATACACAATGGCATTTAATGCAGCCATGAAGAAGAATGAAATGTTATCATTCTCAAGTAAATGAATGGAACTGGAGAACATCATTCTGAGTGAGGTTAGCCTGGCCCAAAAGACCAAAAATCGTAAGTTCTCCCTCATATTCGGACATTAGATCAAGGGCAAACACAACAAGGGGATTGGACTTTGATCACATGATAAAGCGAGAGCACACTAGGGAGGTATGAGGATAAGTAAGACACCCAAAAAACTAGGTAGCATTTGTTGCCCTCAATGCAGAGAAACTAATGCAGATACTTTAAAGTGACAGAGGCCAATAGGAGAAGGGGACCAGAAACTAGAGAAAAGGTTACTTCAAGAAGAATTAATTTAGAAGGTAACACACATGAACAGGAAAGCAATGCAAGTCAACTCCCATATACCTATCCTTATCTCAATTAGCAAAAACCCTTGTTCCCTCCTATTATTGTTTATACTCTCTCTTCAACAAAATTAGAGATAAGGGCAAATAGTTTCTGTCTGGTAGCGAGGGGGTAGGGGGGAGAGGGAGGGGGCAAGGGGGTAAGGGAGAGGGCGGGGGGAAGGAGGGAGAAATGACCCAAACATTGTATGCACCTATGAATAAAAGAAAAAAGAAAAAAAAGAAATACATTTTATCCCATGACCAAACACACACATACATAATGCTGAAATGAAATTTGTATGTGTATCACACTTCTGATGCTTTCCATTCTGCTCTTAAATATTGGTCATGAGCCAATAAACTTACTTGTCTACCACTAATAAGTCATGGTCATAGTTTTTAAAAGCCATGGCCCAAGCTGGGTGCCAATGGCTCACACCTATAAGCCTAGCTCCTTGGGAGGCTGAGATACGGAGGATCACAGTTTGAGACCAGCCTGGGCAAAGAGTTCACAAGACCCCATCTCCAAAAATAACGAGAACAAAATGGACTGGAGGTGTGGCTCAAGAGGTAGACAGCCTGCTTTGCAGTGTAAAGCCCTGAGTTCAAACCCCAGTCCCACAAAAAAGAAAAAGCAATAAAATGTCCACTAATAAGGAAACAGGTGTTCAAAATGTACTGCATTCATATATTGATTATGTAGGTTAAAACAAAGGAAACAGATTTATATGGTTAAGATATTTTTTTTTTCGCAGTACTGGGATTTGAACTCAGGCCTTCTCACTAGCTAGGCAGATGCTTTACCACTTGAGCCACACCTCTAGTCAAAAATGTTTTTAATTAAAAAGCAAAAGCATTCTGAAGGTGTGGCACAAGTAGAGGAAGGCCTTGAGTTCAAACTCCAGTATTGCAAAAAAAAAAAAAAAAAAAAAAAACTTTTTTTTTTAAGTGATTTAAAAGGCAAAAGCAAGTGATCATCAAAAGCAAGGCTGAGCCAGGAGGACTAAGAGTTCAAAGCCAGCCTGGGCTACATAGTGAAAGCCTATCCGCGCCACCCTTCCCCTGCCCAAAAAAACACCTAGAATCCCAGTATTAGGGAAGCACGTAGATTATGGGTTTGAGGCTAGCCTGGACTACATATGGAGACCCTACATCTCTCATTACAAAAAAAAAGCAAATGAATGCTCTACTTTTTAAGCCAAGTAAGTTTCAAGCTAAAATCTCATAGAGTATTAAAAAATTAAGACAACTATGCTAGCCAGTGCTGGTGGCTCTCACCTGTAATCCTAGCTATTCAGGCAGAGATCAAGAGCATCGCAATTTGAAAACACCCCAGGCAAATAGTTCTCGGAACCCTATCTCAAAAAACCCTTCACAAAAATAAGGCTGGTGGAGTGGCTCAAGGTGAAGGCCCTGAGTTCAAGCCTCAGTATCGCAAAAAAAGACAATTATGCTAAACTTTTTCTTTTTCTTCTTTTTTTTTTTTGGTTAGCATCTAATGCTCAGTCTGGCATTTACCCATTGTCATATTGACTTTTTAAAGCACTCATAATCCTGCTGAATGTTTAAACATAGTTTTTTAAAACAGTACAAAATACAACAATGAAGTATCACTAATTAGATATGATGAAAATCTATTAGAATGATGAAAAGCTCAAGTACTGACAACGGCAAATGCTGGCAAGGATGTAGGACAAAAGGAACTCTCATTCATTGCTACTATTTTGGAAGACAGTTTGGCAGTTTCTGGCAAAAGTAATATACTCTTACTACACAATCCTGAAAAAAGCATTCCTTGGTACATACCCAAAGGACATGAAAATGTATATCCCAACAAAAACTTACACATGAGTATTTACAGCAGCTTTATTCTAACTGTCAAAACTTGGAAGTAACCAAAATATCCTTCAGTAGGTAAAGAGATAAGAGATGATACATCCACACGATGAATTATTATTGAGTATAAAAAGAAATGACAGCCAGGCACATGCCTGTAATCCCAGCTCTAAGGGGCTGAGGACGGAGGGTGGTGAGTTCAGGGTCAGTCTCAACTATATAGCAAGACCCTGTCTCAAAAGAGAAAAAAGAAATGAGCACAAAAAAAAAAAAAAAAAAAAACATACAGGAACCTTAAAAGCACACTGTTAAGTGAAAAGAAGCTATTTTGAAAAGTCTACAAACTGTTTGAGTCCAGATAGATAACATTCTGAAAAAGGCAAAACTATAGAGACACTAAAAATATCCATGATTGTCAGGAGTGCAGGGGGGACAGAAGAAAGGGGCACATAGGTGGGTCATAGGGGACCTTTAGGGTAATGTATGATAAGATAATGATAGACAAAAGGCCATTATTCATTGGTCAAAACCCACAAAATATGGGGCTGGCGGTATAGCTCAGTGGTAGAGCATGTGTTTAGGATACATGAGGCCCTTGATTCAATCCCCAGTACGAGAGAAAGAAAGGGGGCTGGAAGTATGAAGAGAGAGAAATAAAATATTAAAAGAATAAGGAAAATGATAAGAAAAAATAGATGGAAAAACAGCAATCAAGAGTTGTGTATTAACTCTCCAGCTCCCAAAATATTCACTGAATTAGAATTTAAGAAAAGGTTGACTCTAAAGACCTTAAGCCCTAAAAAGATTCAGAAACATCAGGAACAGCTATGAAAGCATGCTGTTAAAATTGATTTAAGAAACATAGGGCCTGCCCCGCCAAACCAGACAAGTTGTGTAGAGGCTCTCAAACTCCAGTTTACTAGGCATGGATGCAACCAGTAAGAAGCCCTGCTAGGGCTGTGGGGAGTGAATACCCATCCATCTTCCCAACGAGCTTCCCTGGTGCCCTGTGCCACCCACACAGGAGTAAGGAAGGAAAGAAGAAGAGTAATATCTGTAACCATTGAGAGCCCATCCTCAGGAAAATGAAAACTGGGTATAGAGAAGAGAAGAATGCTGACAGCTACTTTCTGTTATAATCCTCCTAGCACTATTTATCTGAACTTTGACATTACATTCACACATTATTTTTAAACCATACACTAATAACACATCAATAAAAATTATTTTTAATTGGATTAGCACAGTATACATTAAAATTCTCATCTTGTTTTTCTTATAATTTCTAAGTCTTTCTCATCCTTACCTTCTCCCCACCTGGCTTCTCCACAGTGAAAACTTCACTCCAGATCTGAATCCCAGTGGTTTCTGGGTCTGAGCCTCCTCGCCATGAAAAGCCTGTTAATGGTTCCTCTGGATCACCCAACCAATTTGAATGGCCACCTTCCTTCTACACAAGAAAAAAGACATACCCATTAAGTCTTTGGTTTTCCATATTCTGAAGCACTTGGGGACTGAACCCAGACCTTCAAGCCTGCTAAGGCTCTGCCACAGAGCTACATGCCCAGCACTCTCCATGAAGTTGTTTTTTTGTTTTGTTTTTTCATTTTAGTTGAAGTGGGCTTTGAACTCAGGCTTCACACTTGCTAGGCAGGCACTCTATCACTGAAGCCATTCCCCCAGTCCTTTTTGTGTTGGGTATTTACAAGATAGGATGTACATGCCCGGCTGGCTCTGGACTGTGACCCTCCTGATCTCTACCTCCTATGTAACTAGGATTATGATGTGACCCACCAATGCCAGATTCCATTAAATTTTCAATAAGTAATTTTACGTATCAAGGATAATTCATGAGCTATTTTGCTTCTCTGGACATAAAAGTCTCATTTTCTACCTGTAATGAACTAATTTTTCCTTACCTGAGCATACAAATATCTCAGCATAAAATCCAAAATGAAGGACTTGCCCTTTCGGAAGGCACCAGCCACTGACACTACCACCACATCAAGATCTCGGATGTGGTCCTGCAGAAGGATGCTGGCCAAGGCTTTCTCTTCTAGCTCAAAGGAATGTTGTTCTTTGTGAACCAAAACAACCTGCACTGGACCAGGCTTTCCGCTCTCCATGGCATCACCTATGTTAACGTAGAGGAAAAAAAATTAGTTCCAAACATTTTAATATGTATACAAATATACTAATCATAAAGTGAAAAAAATGGCAAATTAGGCATTCTCATGCGTTCTGATGGGAGCATAAAATGGTATAGGTATTCTGTCTCAGAAAGAAAAAGAAAGGGAGAGACAAAGCCTTAGGGTGTGAAATAGGAATTACTTTGGAAGAGGCAAAGAGGTTCACTCTCGACACCCCTGTTCATTAACATAGTGTAGTCCTAACCAGACAGGGTCCCACCCTATAACCCAGGCTGGCCTTGAACTCAGGATCCTCCTGCCTCAACCTTCTGAGTGCTGAAATTACAGGCATGTTCCACCATGCCCAGCTATCTCTTGAGTTCTTATTGCCACAGCAGCCAGTAAAATCCAAGATCTAAAGACCCTTGATCCTACATACAAAAGAATTAATGAAAACAATTTGGGCTGGAGATGTAGTTCAGTGGTAGAACACTTGCCTAGCATGAGCAAGACCCTGTGTTCCATCCACAGCATCAAAAAAAAGAAAAAAAAAAACCTGAAAACTATGGATAAGCTACAATGTTCAATACTATGCAATATTCAAAGAAACACAAAGCAAAGTCCTGATTTGTGGGGACAGGTAGCTGGTCATTCCCCCAATATTAGTTTCTCCCTCTTGCTATATAACAGGTTTTTAGTTGGGTGTATAACTACCCAAAGAAACCCAACCTTGTAGGTGGAATATTATAATGTGACTAAGCTCTAACCAATTTAAAATGACTGGAAAGATGCAGGCAACTTTCAGGTCAGACAACTTCCCCCTTCCTGCTAGCTGGATGTAAAAACTAGGAGTGAGTCACTCTGAGCCAGACACATTAGGACAGCACCCTAGACTCCTGGAGCAACAAGAGAGGCAAGGACTAGGTCTTCGTGCAGCAAAACTGCCATGCTGGTTTACTTATATATGAAAGAAAAATGTCTATCTTGCCTAAATCACTTATGTGGAGGTTCTCTCAGATACAGCCAAGCTGCAGGGCACCGGTGGCTCACACCTGAAATCCTAGCTACTCAGGAGACAGAGATCAGGAAAATCATGGTTTTAAGCCAGTTTGAGCAAAGATCCTATCTTGAAAATACCAACCTAAAAAAAGGGCTGGCAGAGTAGATCAAGTGGTAGAGCGCCTGCCTAGCAAGCATGAGGGTGTCAAAAAAAGAAAAACGAAAGACATGGCATAGTGAATATAATAACACACAGCAAGCACACAATATAAAATTGTAAGACAAATGGATGACATCTACTACAATACAGTTGAAGGCTATAACCCTAAGGATGCAGGTGGCGCTGTCACAACAACAGACATGGACAATAAGGTTATGTGGACTACAGGAAAGATACAATAACCAATGATAAAAATGTATGTAGCTGTACACTGCACTTCCAGAAAAGTTGAAGACTACTTCAACACCTGGAAAAAAAAAGGAAAAAAGATAAAAGTTTTTACTAGTGTCTTTCTCTCTTGCTCCCTACAGCCTAACACCCAAGAATAAAGGATAACAGGCTGTATTTCCCAAGAGCTGGGTGACCCTGCATTTCTCTTCATCAATATTATAAGCAGTCATCAACATCCATTGGACTAAAACCAACCTTGCTCACGAGCAGTGTTCCTTTCATTTGGGCCATCTGAAGGAAAAAATTATTAGTTATACACATCACCAATAATTCAATTTAAACATAAAGTTTCTTTCTTTTCATCATACTATCTTTATCTCTTGCTTCCTAAAGACAACAGTACTGTATTACTGATCTTCCAAGTAAACACTTAATTTCCACATGCCCCTTTCTAGATGTCGGATAAAGGTCCTCTGCTGATTTATCCTTCTCACATCCTAGACTCATATTCCTTAATCAAAACCTTAGGGGCTGGCGTAGAGCTCAGTGGTAGAGTACTCGCCTAGAATGCATGAGGCCATGGGACTTGGCGGATATAGCTGAACAAAAGAGACAAAAATTCCAAGGTTGGAGGAGGAAAGGGGAAATGGGAATATAATGAAGGGGGTAAATTTGCTCAAAGTATACTGTACACACATATGGAATTATCACAATGAATCCCCTCATATTATTAATGTATGCCAATTCAAAAATAAAATTTTTTTTTTAAATAGATGTAAATTCCTGCCTTCAGCCGGGTGCTGATGGCTCACACCTGTAATACTAGCTGATCAGGAGGATCTTGGTTCAAAGCCAGCCCAGGCAAATAGTTCAAGAGACCCCCCCCGCCCTCAAAAATACCTAACACAAAAAGGGCTGGTGGAATGGCTCAAGGTGTAGGCCCTGAGTTCAAGCCCCTGTACCACAAAAAAAAAAAAAAATTCCTACCCTCATAGAGGGCACAACAAATCAACCAATCTATTTATCTTAGGACCCTTTCCCTTAACACCCTGCCACTTTTCAACCTTGCCTTTAAATTATCACCATCTCCACATGTTCCATTGATTGTGTCGCCTCATCTCTGAGGGCTAAAATCTTCTACTTCATTATACTACATAAGCCTACTATAACTACAAAAAAAGCTACCAAAAAACATTTTCCTCTTTTTTTTATTAGTGTATATTAATTGTACAGAGGTTCCATTATACTCTATTACTCTTTCTTACCACTCTCCTGCCTTTTTTGAAAAATTTTGAGATTATTCTACTTTTATACATGCATATGATGTACTGCAGAGAGAGAGAGAGAGAGAGAGAGAGAGAGAGAGAGAGAGAGAGAATGCCTTTCTAGCAAGCACCAAGCTCTCAGTTCAAACCCCTGTATACTGAAGGAAAAAAAAACACACCATTTTATGGGGTCTGAGGATGTAGCTCAGTGGGAGAGCACCTGGCACCTGCTTAGTATGCAAGTCCCTCAGTTTGACGGTAGTATGGCAAGCAACCATACACACATACACACACACACACACACACACACACACACACACACACACACATTTTATGGATTCATGACTCAAGGCTAAAAATTTCCATCCTATATGTCAAAACCTTTCACCATTCACTCCACTATTTTACTTATTCTATCTCTTTACCCTCATCCTCTCAAGAAAATTTATCCTCACTGGTCTTTGTCGTCTTAATTCCAATCTTTCAAGCGTACAAAATCTGCAAGCACTCATTCCCATAGCCTGAAATGCTTCTTCCCTCTTGACTCTGGGCAGATAGTTATTCATCCTGCAATACTCACCTTTTAATGAAGCCCTCTCTTATCCTGATTACCCAACTGACCTTCTCAGAGTCTACTGCTTTACACAGTATGCTAAAAAGAACAAAACAGACTCTGGATCAAAGCAGAGCAGGGCCTGAGTCCTGGCTTTTTCCCCTCTAAAATGTAAGCTCTATGAAGGCAAGAATTTTTGTCTCTTTTGTTCCCAAAACAATGCCCACAGATAACAACCAATAAAAATGTGTAAAATAAGCAAACTCCATAACTCAGTCACAATGTGACTCTGGAAAAATTTCTAATCACTTCCATGTCCATTTATAAGTCTAATAACCATCTCAAAACACAGTACCTGACACATATTAGGAACTCAATAAACAGTCTCTCCTTCCACATTTGTTTCCACTGAAACTAGTAGATACTATTACCTGTACTTGATACAATATTATCATATTGTAATTAAGATTTATCAACCAGACTAGGAGCTCCTGGGAATCAAAGAAACTGTCACATTCAGTCCCAGTATCTAAAATAGGAAAAAGAAGTTTCCTAGTACTGTGAACATAAACCCAATATGTGTAAAGCACCTAAATAAAAATCAGTTTCTCCCTTCCTTCTCCCACTCTCTTTCATTGCCAAACTCCTTGAAAATTCCATTTGTTATCTACCCATCTACACCTTGCAATTTGGCTTTCATCTTAATCTCTATTGAGATTCAATCTCTAGTTTATCAAAGACCTCTTTTTCCAAAGTCAGCAGCCATCTCTTGATTCTCATTCACCTCTACCTCTCTGCAACAAAACACAACTGCCACCTAATTCTAACTGGTCATCTGTAAACCTGTAATTCCAGCACTGGGGAGGCTGAGGCAGAACCAAGAGTTCAAAGCCAGCCTGGGCTACATAGTGAGGCCCTGTCTCAAAAAACAAAACTAAACACCTGAGCGCCGTGGCTCACACCTGTAATCCTAGCTACTCAGAAGGCAGAGATCAGGAGGATCACGGTTCAAAGCCAGCCTGGGGAAGTAGTTTGAGAAACCCTGTCTTGAAAAAAACTATCACAGGAAAGGGCTGGTGGAGTGGCTCAGATGAAGGCTTTGAGTACCACCAAAAAAAAAAAAAAAAAAAAAGCAACTTAAAACCTCTGGACTCAGCACACATCCTAGCTCTCTTTCAGCCTCATCATCTTCCTTCTACAGCCTCCAGTGAGTAGGTACACCATTGATGCTCTGCTTCAGTCTCTTGCAGTGCTCATTCATTTCCTCAATAAGCTCTTTATTCTTAGAATTTCAACTATACCCTCTATTTGATGACACAACTTCATTAGCTCTTTAACCTGGCATTTAGTCCAAATGTAGAACTGCCTTAGGGAAAGATTCACCTGGATGCTCCACTCACCTCACTCTCAGGAAGAATATGTGGAAATACATGAACTTACAGTCAGGAGACAGCTCCTGTTGCAGTTCCACCACTGACAGCCTGTGTGATCCTGGACATGTCTAGTCCTCAGTTTCATCAGTAAAATAAGTCAAAGCTCTACATTTAGTATTGTCAAAATGTATCCTCTTGTTAACTCTACTCTCAAACCTCTGTTTTCCAGTTCTATGCTCCCATATGCAGTGCATCACCAAGTCCTATCACTTCTTCCTTTCATAATTTAAGTTTCTGCTTTTAAGCAAAGGTTTGCTTGTTTGTTTTTGAGACAGGATCTCACTATAAAGCCAGACTGGCCTCGAACTTTAAATCTTCCTGCCTCAGCCTCCCCAGTGCTGAGATCACAACCAAAAGTGTTATTATAGTGAGGTAGTATATATAAGAGAAAGGCCTTCCCTAACAATAAAGAAAGACCACACAGTTCTTGGCCCAGTTCTGCACTGACTGAACTAGTATGAATAAATCAGTCTACCTCTGTGTCTCCATTTCTAGCACAAAATCAGACAGAAGCTTTTTTTCAGTTCTAAAATTCACTAACTTAGCTGGGTGCTGGTGGTTCACATCTGTAATACTAGCAACTTGGGAGACTGAGATTGGGAGGATCAAGGTTTGAGGCCAGCTCAGATAGTTTCCGAGACCCATCTTCAAAACAGCCATAGCAAAATGGACTGAAGGAGTGGCTCAGTGGTACCACACCTGCTTTGCAAATTATGAAGCCCCTAATTCAAACGCCAGTACCACCAAATATAAGAATTAAAAAAAAAAAAAAAAAATCAGTGACTTCTTGGACTTTTGTTGTTTGGGTGTTGAACTCAGGGATTCCTGCTTGCTCTACCACTTGAGTCACACCTCCAGCCCCAATGACTCTTGAACAATCAAAAATTTCCCAGATATCCAATTGTTCAAATTTGCTAGGTGACCTATCCATCCTATGACTTAATTTAAGTTGGATAAGAGCAAACCAAAACTTATGTTCAGGAGAACACTAAAGTGACTTAATAAGTATGTTGTAAAAGATTTTAGGTTTTTGAGGCTTGTTTGGGATTTAGAAGGAGGGTTCCGTACTAATTACAGTGAAATTATTCCCTCTTCTCAGGAATCTTAAACTCTGGAAATTCTACCTAATCTCTAGGGATAGTACCTTTCAGTGGCAACATTACATGCTTTCTCCTTTTGGAGAAGTAATTATCTTCCAATGTCTTCATCTGCATGGTGAGTTAATACTCTATTACCTGCATTTATCTGAAAAACAGATCTGACATTTCTGCAAATATACAAATATTTGGCCTGACAAATAGATACATGTAATATCCATGTGCATTTAAGTAAACTTAAATCTTCACTTTTAAAAAGAGGGTAGTAGAAATACTGTACCATATTGCCAATTCTGATTACTGCTATAAATAGCTCACAATAATACCACATCAGTCATCATTTCAAGTTGAATAATAGCAGTATAAGTGGAAGCTACAACCTTTACCCTCATTACTTGTAAGCACTGATTTACCCTTTACTTTTGGCATAAAGCACCTTAATTCAAATTAACAAATAGGTTTCATATGGTTATTCCAATAATCTCTGAAGTAATTTCATACCACAGATTAGCTCTGCACCAAAATGACAACAACCCAAACTGGATAAAGAATGAAGCTGAACGACTACCAAGTGAAATTAGTTATTATGTGAAAGAATTCAGAGAGGCATGTGCTTATTACAGCACTGACTCCTCCTAGAGTTACAGGCCTTAAACAAAAAAGGAGGGTTGTGGGTACAGCCCAGTGGTGGAGCACATGCTTAAGGTGCATGAGGTCCTGGGTTCAATCCCCAGCAACAAAACAAAACAAAAAAAAAAAAAAAAAAAGGAGCTATACAGGTTGAATAAAATGAATGACACTACTAATCATGATTGGCCTTTTTGCTTTTTGGATCTTATTGAAGGACATAAATTCTAATAAGTTCTATCACAAAAACTTTATGAGGAGAGCTGGGGGTGTGTAGCTCAGTAGTAAAGTACTTGCCTAGCATGTACAAGGCCCTGGGTTCTATTCCCAGCAGTGCAAAAATATTAATAATAATAATAATAATAATATGGGGAAAAGTTTAAATGCTCTCAAATACTTGAGAAGGCCATCTAAACAGTGATAAATTCAGTAAAACTGGTTAACTGAAAGCAGTTACTTTTGCTACTTCAGAAAATTCAGGACCAGGGCTGTAGCTCAGTGATAGAACACTGAGTTCCTTCAAACAAAAAGAAAATTCATACAGAATTTAGTCCTTTAATTCAACAGTGTAGATCAAGGTTTCAAAACACTGACACTACTGGGGCTGGATAACTCTTTGCTGGGAGGCTGAGGGAGGGGGTAGGTATACACTCTAAGATATTTAGCAACTAGATATTTACTCACTATATACTATATGTTCCCCCTTCCCAGGTTGTGACATCCAAAAATGTCTGAAAGTCCCATGAGGGAAAACTCACCCTGTGTGAAGAGCCAATGGGGTAGAACCAGCCTGGGCACCCATCCTTACTGTCCAGGAAATTCACAAAAGCAAAGTAACCAAAGTTACAGAAACAGTTTTCTGAGCAGATTGTATGACTCATGGTAGAGTTATGACCTGAGTTTTCCAGTCCTTTTTTGAAATACCACATTCCCCAAAGGGCAAGAATAACACACCCAAAAAACAGAAGATACCATTTTCAACCATTTTTTCTGGCAACTGTTAAAGTTCCTGATGTACAAAGCCAAAGAAAACATACCATATGCAAAAGTATACTAAGTCCAACACTAGAACTACCAGGTGTGGCTCTTTTTGATGCTGGGGGAGTAGGTATTTACATACTCCATTTTGGCTTAAGGCAGTTAATGTGCCAGCAGACACACATAAAAGGTTGTTTCATTGAAATACTAGTTAAAACAAACATACCAGAATATTGGGGAAATTGATATTCTAATTAATTACAGAAAGTGTTTAGGAGAAACTTGTTATAGAAAATCTTTGTGCCTTTGCACAAAATGCTGAACAAAACCACATTTCTTATGCTGACTACAAAATTTGTAGTTCTTTATAGATTTATAAAGATCAACTGTAACTGAACAGTACTGAAGATTCAGAAAATGCAGGACATGGTCTAATTTAAAAATGATGCCAAGAAGCCAGGCAAAGGTGGCATGCCCCTGAAATCCCAGCAACTCAAGAGGCTGAAACAGGAGGATCACTTGAGTCCAGAAGTTCAAGGCAACATAGGGAAACTACAACCTCAAATAAATAAATAAATTGTGCCAGTCTATGCCAGAGGTGGAGAAAAGAACTTTTCACTAGAATGAATTCAACAGTGATTTTATTTGCATTTCCTAAACATGGGAAACCTAGCTACCTGAAGGTTTTACCTAGCTAAATAAGTTCAGTAAGGTTTTTTTTTTGTTGTTTTGTTTTTTTAATGGGACTGGAGTATGAACTCAGGGCTTCTTGTTTGCAAAGCAGGCCCTCTACTGTTCTGTTATCTTGGAGATGGGATCTCATGGGCTCAAATTATGATTCTCCTGATCTCAGCCTCCCAAGTAGCTAGGATAATAGGCATGAGCCCAGTCTCTTAATAATGTTAATGTACAGCAGTGCAGAAAATCACAGCTTTAAGGCAACTGAAATATTTTTTTTTCCTTAAGCTTTTCCCTCACTTTTGTCTTTTTTTTTTTTTTCTTTGTAGAACTGGAGTTTGAACTCAGGGCCTACACCTTGAGTAACTCCAGACACTTTTTGTGATTTTTTTGTGGGGGTGTGGGGTGGTTTTTTCTAGATAGGGTTCAAGAACTATTTGCTCAGGCTGGCTTCAAATTGTGATCCTCCTGATCTCTGCTCCTGATCTCTGCCTCCTGAGTAGCTAGGATTATAGATGTGAGCCACCAGCACCCAGCTTCCTTTGGTATTTTTTAAGTAGTATGCCCATCTCTAGAATCTCAACTCACGAAAATGTTCTAAAATTCAGACAAACTTTTAAAATGTAGTTATGTTGCTTGACCACTTTCTCAATAGGAAAACACAGGCCATAAATAACTTTAATGGGCATGCCAGTCATTATAAGGAAATTCTAAATCAATTCTCAAACAAGTTCATACACATGGAGGTTTCCCTAACGTACTTTACAGAAATCTTAAACAGAATGTGTGACCAAATTGTTCATGACTACCTTTGAGGAATTGGGAAGGAGAGGACTTTATAGGTCTTGCTCACACAACTATTATTTCATTTTAAGGTTTTTGTGGGGCTTTTGGAGATTTTTGTCTGTTCTGAGACTAGGTCTCCCGATGCAGCCCATGCTGGCCTCCAGCTCCTGGTCCTCCCTGCCTCAGCCTCTTCAGTGCTGAGTGCTGGGACTACAGGCATGCAACACCACTGGAGGGAGAGGCAGGAAGATTGTGAGTTCAAGGCCAGCCTGGCTACATAGCAAGACCCTGTCTCAAAAACATAAAAACAGTGTAAATATAACCTTTATTCTACGACTGCTAGCAAAAAAAATTTTAAAGAACATGTTAAATATAGAAAAACAAATTTTATTCTCAATAAGACCTAGGGGGAAGGGATAAAGCTACTCACTGCGTTCACCCCTAGCTCCACAAAAGAAACTAAGCAGGCCTTCTTTACTGAAAACTAAGAAAATAATGCTAGTGAACATATCACATCTGCTATTTTTCTTAATTTTATGAATATTACAGGAGATGGTAAACCGGAGCTAATTAACTCAACATGCTGGACTCGCCTGAACAATGCTTCATTATGTGGAGATCTTTTCTACCAAACGTTTCCTTTACAGGTGTTCAAAGAGCAACGAGCTATTTTTCGCAGGAATTGAAAACAAAAAAAAAAAAAAGCTCTAATTTGAATTTCCAGTACCTATCTTGCCACGCTGAGTACGTGACAAGGCTTAGAACTCAGTAGGTCCCCCAAAATAAGCGGAAATGGGGATCGCCCAGCGGCAGTCCGTTAGCTTATCTTCTCCCTTTCCGAAACATTCCACCACTCCGGACTCAAATTTGAGGAATGGGACTTGCTAAACAGAGTCTTCAAACACCACCCTTGACCTTTTGCCTCGAGGTTTCGCAACCTTAACGTCGGGTAATTGCAGGAGCACACATATCCAACGAGAACGGAGCCAGGTACAATGACAGGCGAAATCGCACCCGTGGATTTACGGTGCCTCCCTATTTGGTTTACCATTTAATACTGGTTATGTCTTCAGGAAAGCAAGAGAACAAACGTATGCACCAAACTTACTCCAAGGACTTGCTAAAACCCAATCCAGACCAACTGTTCTCCTTCCTTTTTGGAGAGAAGTGTGGATTGGAAACCAACTTCACTAATACTTGTTGGCAGAGCCCCAAGGTCGCTTGGATAAAACTAAAACTTCCAGCTCCAAGTTTCCGAGCAGCCCTCCGGCACCGAACAATAAAAGCATCTATCTGGCTCCCCTCCCGCTCCATCCCGGCCCGTTAAGACGGCGCGTCGGTCTGCCCGCCGTCCCGGCGGGGAGGGGAGCCCGCGCCAGGCGGGGCTGGGCGGGCCGGAACTCCGGGGCCACCAGCCCGGGCGGACTGGGCCCCGCGGGGAGCCCCCGGCCAAATTCTGGAGCCGAGGGACCCCGGCGGGCGCGCACTCCCGGCCCCAGCAACCAGGAAGGGCGGCAGCAGGGGCGGGCGGCGGACTCCTCGGAGCCGAAGCAGGGAGAAGCGGCGGGAACGACCACGAAGCGGGTCTGGGGAAAATTGTACGCCTCACCTGCTCCTCCCGAGGAAGCCGCTACCGCTCGCTGAGGGGACAACATGGAGCCTCCGCCTTCAGCACAAGCAGCAGGGACGCAGAGAGGGGCGGGCTGGGGCGAGCGCGAGCCAGGCCCTAGAGGCGGGAAACAGGCGGGGCCTAGCATCCAGTAGAAGCCGGGGAGGCGGAGCGTGCGGAGCCGCGAAGGAGCGAGCCCGGGAGACGCGTGGGCGAGACCTCACAGGCGGTCCGACGCGAGAAAGCGCACGCGGCAGGGTCCCGCCATCGTACGCGCGTGTGAGCGTGCGAGGAACGTGCTGCGGCCTACCTGTGGATGTGTTGTGAAAGCTCCAGTCCGCAGGGAATTGTAGTCCGGTGCTCTCTGGGCCCCGCCCGCGGGCCCCATTCTGCACACTCATCCCGGGCGGAGAGGAAGCAGAGGAGGGGGCGGGGCTGGGTGGGGTTGGGCAGGCTTTCCGGCCAGTGAACTACAACTCCCAGCAGGCTGTGCGGGAAGAGGGGCAGGAAGGGCCGGGCCGCCCAGCCAGAGACCCCGCCCGGTGCCTAGTGTGGGGACCAGGCCCGGGCGGAGGCCTCGGGGATCCCGCCACGCTTGCTGGGGGTTGGTGATCAACGCTGTTGGGTACCATAGGTGGACGGCAGAAAAGAGGCCTGAAGCGCGGCTGACGTGACCCTTTTGATGATTTTTGACTTCACAAGGACAGGCGTCCGTGACTTCATTACCACCATTATCATCATCAGCCCCTGTTCCTGTCCCTGGCCAAGTTTGATGTGCACCATCACTGCTCTCATAACTAACGTAAGAGCTTCCAATGTGGGGCCTGGTGGTTCACGCCTGTAATGCCAGCATTAGAGGAGGTTGAAGCAAGAGAACCATGAGGTTAAGACCAACCTAAGCTGTATAGCAAGTTCAAGGTTTGTCTCAGAAGAGGCAAAAGAACTCGCAGGGAGACCTTTACCACCGTCTTTGACCCAGGCCATGGCCATCTTCTGTAAACTTGGGATTATATAGAACCATGTTTTGAAGCTGCTTTTCCAAGCTTACTTAAACCGTTCAAAACTAAGTTCTCTGAAAATTACTCAGATTTCACCACCATGGAAGAATTGGCGGGGGGGGGGGGGGGGGGTTGAGATAGGGGTGTTTGCCCAGGGTAAGTACCTGGTGGAGTTTATGGTAGTCTAAAGCATACTTTTGGACCCCAGGCCCAAACTCCTGGGCTTCACTGTGTCATGTTCTGCCACACAGCTGTATATTCCAAAAAAAAGAGACATGGTGAAGGGCAGAGAAAGGAGGTTTATTACCCTGCCCTGGACACACCATGGGAAGAGGCAAAGTAAGCACTAAGCACGTCTTCAACCATCTTCAGGGTACAGACATGAGCTTTAGCTTTAAATAGACAAAGAATTACAAAAGTTATGCATAAATAGTCCCAGTTACATATGTAACCTTATTGTTGCCTGTCAGATGGTCTATCCTGCAGCAGCTCTACTGTCATAAAGATGTTATCAGTTCTGTCCTTCCTGGAATCCCAGGAGACTGCAAAGAGAATGGCTTAGACCAAAGACAAATACAAAGGGAAGGCAGAGATGCCAAGCTTTTCTGCTTTAAGTTAATTGCAGGCCTGAGTAAGAAGTCTGGGCTTCTCAGCAAAAGCAATTTAAGTACCTCTTGCACATTCTCCCCCCACTGCCAGTACTTGGCATCACCATTTCCTCATTCATTCAGCAATGATTCCACTTTCTTCCTTCTGTTTATACCTTACCTATGACAGCTTGCCCAGAACCCCCTTCCAGCTACAGCTAGGCCCTACCAAGCCCTTGAGCTATTATTTCTTACTTTCTAAGTGATTAGACCAGACATGAAAAGGTAAAGATACCTTATTTTACCTAACAAGGTCCTGTTTTGACATCTTTTCCCCTGTCCCTCTCATTCTACACAAACTTTCAGGATTGTTTGGATACCCTTTTCCACGTTTTAGATTTAAGGTTAGATCAAGGCTAACTTGAGGCAACAAGAAACTAAAAGTGGACATCAGATAGGAGCTAGTGGGGTTTCATACACAGTGTGGAAGGCAAGGACTACAGATGACATATATTCAGGGCATTAGCAGCATGCTCAAAAAGAAAAGAGGCCAAAAGCCAATGACATCTCACAACTGCAACACACTATGTGAGAATTTAAAATTGCCTTCACATCCTGGCATTCTCCATTCCCCTTCCCTGCACTACACTTCTCCATAATACTTTTTACCATTGCACTTAAGTTTTACATTTCGTCTCTTTGCACTAGAATGTAAATTCCAAATGAAGTATTTTTATCTGTTTTGAGCAAAATATGTATATTCCCAGCACTTCAGTGTCAGCAAATGGTAGAGACTGAAATCTCTTATTTAATTAATGAATAAAAGAAGGTATATGTTAAACCTAACTGCTCATTCACTTCCTGTTTCCTTTAAAATTAAATACCTGATTTTTGCCTTGGAACAAAATGCTCCATTGTATTTTAAGGATTCCCAATAAAGATGCACTGAAATCCATACATAATATTGGCATCACATATGTCTCAATACAACATCATAAAGGTCAGTGTAAGCACTTCAGCCTTCCCCATACCTCGAAGAAGCTTTTGGCATTTGAAACATGGTACAAATTATAGGTAGATTTTAGGATTAGTCACATCTTAGAAAGCAACCCCTGTAAATGAGAAACATGGTTTGTTATTGTTTCTTTCTCAAATACCCAGGGTCATCAAAATGCTGGACATTCAAAATGCTAAATATGGATGATAATGATTACAGCCTGCCTGCCATCTTACGCTGGATTGAGTCACATGGCATAACCAGAGATTGAGTTTCCTTGTGTTCAAGAAGAAGGTGACAGATAGACATGTTTGAGTGGTTAAGACCATTGACTTTGGTGTCAGAGTGACTTGGCATTGAATTACGGCTCTGATGCTCACTAGCTATGCAACCTTGCGTGAGATGCTTCATCATCTACAAAATATAATACCCACAGAATTATAGGTTAAATGAGATGTAAGTGTTTGGCAGTGATGAGTGGTTAGTGCTCAAAACTTGGTAATCACTGTATTCATTCTGGAAAAGCAAAACAAAGTCATAAAAAATCAAGATACTAGGAAGCATAAAAATAGCAAAATTGTTTTCTGCAATGACGTCCACTGTGACTCAGGTTCCAAAGCTCTCCAAAAATAGAGCCTTTTTTTATGTTCCAGACACTATGCTAAGCAGTAATACTGCATAAGATACATTCCTGTCCTCCAGAGACTCACAATCTTGTGAGATAAACAGCCAAGGAAATATCACTTCCTGTGCCTGTACTGGGAAACAGTGCAGAACCAATGTTTAAGCAACTTGGAAGGGATAAGATGGAAATACTGCATTCTTGGCATCATCTAAATATCTACCTGGGGCCTGGGAATGTATGTAGTTCGGTATTAGAATGCTTTGCCTAGGCTATGTGTTCCATCCCTGGGAGGATGGGGAACCTACCTGGGCAGATGTAACTCAGTGGTAAAGCCCTAGTCTGATTCCCCAACACTGCAAGATTAATAAATAAATATCGACTGCCTACTTTGTATATAAAATGGGGTGATGGTTTAGTGTCCTTCATAAAAAAATAGTCAACCCACCTCAAAGGGTGTTATAAAATTGAATATTAGTCCCCGTCATCAAAAAAAAAATCACCTGGAGAAATGAACCAAGCCTTGTATGCACATATGAATAATAAAAGAAAAAGGAAAAAAAAAAAAGAAAAGAGAGAGAAAAAAAAATCACCTTTGAGGTAGAAGTGTAGCTCAGTGGTAAAGTGCATGTTTAGCACAAAAAAAAGGAAGAAAAAGAGAAGGGGAAGAGGGAGGAGAGAAAGAAGGAGGAGGAGGAGGAAAAACGACAGCAGCAGAGCACCTTGAAGTCCCAGCTCCTAAGAAGGCTGAAGCAGGAGTATCACTTGAGACCAGGAATTTCTGGCCAGCCTAGGCAATATAGAGAGATCCCCTAACCCTTAAAGAAAAAAAAAAAAAAAATCAGGGCTAGCAGAATGGCTCAAGTGCCTGTCTAGCAAGTGTGAGGTCCTGAGTTCAATCTTGAAAAAAAAAAAGCATAACATTGAATATTACACATTAAAAGCTTAAGACCCTTTTAGCTGCTTCATTACTAATATTTTACCCAGTAGCACAGCTGTGTAACATGTCAAAAAACACTAGAAAAGATGAGTAGAAGGGCAGGGAGCAATGTGCACAACAATATGGATAGCTGCTATCCTTTGTGCTAAAAAGGGTGGATGCAAGCACAAGGCTCTGAGCTCAAGCACCAGTACTACCAAAAAAAAAAAAAAAAAGAGTAGAAGAGGATAGAGATTTACTATATTCACCTTTGCTTACCCTTGGCACTACAAGATTCTAACAGTGGTTCCTGTCTGTGTGTAGAGAAGTAGAGATGGTCAGTGATAAAAGGCTGAATTTTACAGTACAGCCACACACCAGATGATGTTTTGATCAACAACAGCCTGCATATTGCAACAGTGGTCCCATACGATTATAATGGAACTGAAGAATTCCTGTCACCTAATAATGTTGGGAGTCTTCCTAACACATTACTCACGTGTTTGCAGCGATGCTGATGTAACCTAACCCACTGGCTGCCAGTCATATAAAAGTATTTCACACACAAGTATGTGCAGCATAACATACCCAACAATGAGAAATGACCATGGTGCTGGCTTATGTGTTTACTATATCTTTTATCTTTAGTTTAGAGCATACTCCCTTCTACTTATAAGACACAAAATTTACTGTGAAATAGCACACCATGTTACATCGGCAGCAGCTTTATACATCTTGGGTTTACACACTCCCTTGATTGCATCAAGAGGCTACATAGAGGGCTGGGATGTAGCTCGGTGGTACAGCGCTTGCCTAGCATGCGTGAGGCCCTGGGTTCGATCCCAGCACCAAAAAAGAAAAGACAAAAAAAAAAAGAGGCTACATGGAGGGCTGGTGGTATGGCCCAAGCAGTAGAGTGCCTGCCTAGCAAGCATGAGGCCCTGAGTTCAAACCCCAGTACTGGAAAAAAAAAAAAAAAAGGCCACATGGAATATACCATGTAGTTTTATGAAAGTACATTCTATGATATTCCCACGAGGATGAAATTGACTAATGATGGAGTTCTCATAACATATCCCTGTCATTAATTGACTCATCACTGTATATATGCTTTTTTTTATAGTGTTGAGGATTAAGTCCAGGACTTTGTGCATGCGAGGCAAG